GGTTTACTCGTTACTGCGTTACTCGTTTTAGCAATACCCCATGAAAAATTGTGCAACTAAGCATTATTTAGTAAGTAGCATCACGATTAAATGTGTGTTTCTATTTTCTCGAGCTTTGTCTTGACAATCCTCTCATGAATGCAGGCAGTAGTGCTAGATAGCTAAAGGGATAATATTATGATATTATTATGTCATATCCTTTATGCATTTGTTAATTACCTTTTCTGGTTTGGTAGTTGAAATCGTATGTCAGTCAGTTTGCAACTACCCATATGATGCGGGTAAAAGATTTTGTGTTTACCAACTGATAGTGGTAGATAGGGGAATCCCCGATTTAAATCATTCATAGCCGAACAGCCAAACACGCCAAAACCGGTTTCATTCAACAAATCTATTCCTCTAGTTCATTCGAGTAATTTAGGAAAGCCGATGGATCATCGTTCAAAAGGACTAAGATTTCGCCCTGGGCGACCAAAACTTAGCCAGAGAAAACAGACAGATTGTGTATGCAAAATATATTCATGCCCGTGAATGACGCTTATGCTTTGTGATTCCTTATGAGTCAAACAGGATTTGCTCTTGCGGCTGGGAATATTCCAACATTCACTCTTGTGAGCAATTCATCGTAACTTGAAATCGGATATTCGGCATAAAAACTGCAATATCGGTCTTAATACTTAATAATACTCGAGTATTACATGGAACACCATGACAATTGATTGCTTTAGAACAGAGAGTAAAGAATAACACGTCTACAATATTCACATGGTTGCACATGAGAGTTCCCGGCCAAAACGATTGCAAATTGATCCGAGCAAACTGTCAGTCAACATTCCAATGCTAGGATCGCTTTTGCCGGCGTTGCGACAGATCGTTGCCGTCAAAGTCGCGTGATCGGCACGTAGCCTGCGTAAGCCCCGCCTGCGTTCAGCAAACTACTAGGTATCGAATTATGCACACCGTAGATTGAGTTTCGTAAATTAATATCAAGTTCCATACCATGTCATGTATGTCGAGAAATGTCAAGAAATAGAGAAAACTCATCGAGTTCTCGTCGAGAAATTTAAAAACTTGAAATAAAAATATTTCTCGACATACTGCCCTAGATAAAACTCGTTTATGATAATAAACTGAGCTAAGCAAGAACTTGTCAAAAACTGACCAATGTTTTGCACAGCAGTAACGGCGTTCCATATGTTTCTCTGTTTTAACCTATCAAAGGGTTGTCAAATTCTGGTTAGAAAAGTAGGGGTCACCATGCATTTAAAAGAAATAATAAGGCTTAAAAAACGTTAACAAGTGATGACGGCATTATTTTACTTACGCCAGACATTTCTAATTTAATTCGTCCTAAATCGTTTTCTGCTTTAACTTTTATTGAAAATCAATGCTTTGTTTAGTGCAATTCGAATAATGAATTTGAGATTCCTCAAATGTAGGTGTCCAGTACGTGTGCGTGTGGACAATAGTAGGCACCGTCCTTAACTATACGCCCGTGAGGTAGCTCACTACAGCTGCTAGATCGGTACAAATGCAACCCTATATAGACTCTAGTAACATGACTAAATTTTTCTCTGGTAATGTGGAATACAGTATTTTGCATTGTTTCGAAGCCAACCGCTTTGTTTACGTCGCTTTAGCGCATATCGTATCAGAATTCCAATTTGGAATCCAGTGGAAGAAGAGCCACTCTGTGGAATCCACGTTAATTCCATTCTTTTTAAATTAATATTTATTATCATAAGAACTTACAGACACACATACACAGTCGACATGCAGGAAGTGATTGAATAATTCGGGTCGATGCACATTACACAGGGTGTTGTGATTCTTAGATTCTTAGAGACTCTTCAAGAACATCCGAATAACACTTTCATGAACTTAAGAGACTGATTCAAGGGTTTTTCTCCGTGTTCTCCACTTTTCCTCCCTCTGCCAAACCTCAGTAACAATCTGTGAGTTAGTCCGTAGATTTTGTGAATTTTTTAAAAGCGAAACTAGCCACCCACGATCAGGGATAAAAAAATATGCAACTAAGCAGTTTTTTCTTTCAAGAAGAGTCATTCGAGGCGCTTGTCTTGACAATCCTCTCATGAATGCAGGCAGTAGTGCTAGATAGCTAAAGGGATAATATTATGATAATATTATGTCATAACCTTTATGCATTTGTTACCTTTTCTGGTCTGCTTGTTGATGATGTTTTCCAGTGTTACCAGACTGTAGCTTTTCTAGAGCACTAGAGATACCAGAAAGTATCTTCCAAAGATATCGTTCCCAAGTAGTGTTATCACATGCTAAAACCCTTCAAAGAACAACTTAGTTCAGAAGTAGTGGAATCCGTTCTTTAGAATTCATACAGTACTTTACTTGAAGATCGGCAAACACTTTTATTGCACTGCATGAATCCAAGTAAGCTTTTCTTGAAAATCAGTTCTAGGGACGGCCTTTAGTTCCCAGCATCCCCCAGTAATGAATATGTTGGTAACCAAGCGAAACACAGATCACAGAGCAAAGATTCCACGAGTATTTTATTTCAGTTTAGTTTAGTTTTTTTTCCAAAAGCAAAGATAGAAAAAGTTTCACTGAGAAAGGTCAGTCAGTTTGCTTTATGAGAATTATAAATACGTCCTGCATAACACACACACACACACTCTCTCTCTTCGCTCCTTTTATCCGATCAAAACAATATTCAATTAAACGGTTTGTCTAATATAAGTTTTACAACAATTAACGATTTTTACCGTAAACTGATACAACGAAGTCTTATGGAGGTTTTTGTCACGTATTTATTTTGCAATACAAGCTGGTGTTCTGTCTTCCAAGTATGATGCGATTAAGAGGAAATGTTGTGACCACTGTACAACATTAGGGGAATCCCCGGAATTAAATATTCAGACGAACAGCCAAACATTTACGTCAAAACCGGTTTCATTTACTGTAATTTATTCTCCAATAAGCAAAAATCAAAATCCGTTAAAAATAAAAATAAACTAGGATAAACTTACAAAACCAAGAAAAATTAAGTTAAGAAACACATTTTGTCTTCAAATGTTCAGTAAAAATGTAAAGTAGGGATTTAAAATATTGTTTTGAATTTTTACGGCCATTTCACGGCCAGTGGAACGTAAACAAAGAAAAAAGCATGGACGTATAGTTTAAATGACCAAAAGACTTGCATGCTATTACGCGGACAAACAATTGCAGCGAGGCGGGGACGTGTTCTACTGCAGACTCATCCAGTGGCTGAAAACGTTCATACGGAGATCAAAACAAGAGAACTTTTCACCGAAATGTTTTATATGACAGTGAGGATGCTTGGTGCTG